CCCCCGTAGTCCCCAGCCCCTACCGGTCTTCTCCTCTGCCTCCTTGGCCTTCTCCTCAGGGCGCTGGGGCCACAGCCGCTCGGGCCTCTTCCTGCTGGGCGGCCTGGGCTTCTTCTGGCGCCGGATGTACTCGACTGAGGGGCAGGCGGGCTCTGAGCGGCAGGTGCGGCCCTGGGTCCCGCCAGCGCCCAGGCCGGGGTGCCATGCAGAGGGCTGCGCGGCTACTCACAGTCCTCGTAGTCCTCGCGCTCTATCTGGTCGTTGTAGTCCAGCGTGGGCACCTCTGTCTCCTCCTCGGGCTCTGGTGGGAGAACACCAGGGGCCACCAGTGACCCCCACCCTGGGCTCCTCAGGGAAGCCCCTCAGTCTGACAGGTCAAGGCAGAGGGCGGCCACTCACCGGGCTGGGGCTCCTGGGGCTCCACACGGACTTCCTCCTCTGGGCCCTGCCAGGCATCTGGGGCGGCCTTGCCTGCAATACAGAGGCCCCAGGAGCAGGTGGGCCCAAGGCCACCAGCTGCCCCCGGCCCCATGTGCCCTCCTGAGGCCCCGCCCCGCTGGGTGCCCCTGAGTAAGGTAGGGCAGCACCCAGGGCACAGAGGTCCCTACTCACAAGGCTGGCGAACCCTCTCCCTACCCAGGACAGGCTGCAACGCTGAGGGATCTCAGTGACCTAACGGCTGAGGTCAAGATGAAAACAAGGCCCCAGAGCCCACACTGTCCTGGGAAGACCTGACCTCAGCATGGCTGCTCCACCCCAGAGCCCAGAGGGGCCCAGCACAAACCTCCCTCCCAGCGCGGCGGCATCTCTGGAATGGGGCTGGGGGCTGGGGGCAGGGGCCACTCCAGGGTTTCTGCAGGGGCCGGCATGGAGGGCTTCTCCTTGGGTCTCTTGGTGGCCTTGGGTGGCTTCTCTTTGGGCTTCTTGGTGGCTTCAAGCGGCTTCTCCTTGGGCTTCTTGGTGGCCTTGGGTGGCTTCTCCTTGGGTTTTTTGGTGGCCTTGGGTGGCTTCTCTTTGGGCTTCTTGGTGGCTTCAAGCGGCTTCTCCTTGGGCTTCTTGGTGGCCTTGGGTGGCTTCTCCTTCCCCTTCTTGGGTGGCCTGGGGGACCCCTCCAGGGGCTGCTTGGTCGCCTTGGGGCCTTTGTCCTTCTTCCCTTTCTTGCCTTTGTCTTTGGGCTTTTCCGGAGGGGCTGTCCAAGGAACAGGGTCAGGTCAGTTCAGCAGAGCCTACCCCCATGGCCCCTTCTGCCAGTCCCTGGCATGGTCAGGAAGCTGGAGTGACATCACCGCCCCAAGGGGCAGGGCTGGGATTTGAACCTGAGCTTTCTGGCTGCGCGTCTGGGGCTGTCACCCCTCATCTCAGTCCTCAGGAAGAGGCCGTCACCCCCACCTGCTGGAACCTCAAAAGGGGTCCCCCACAATCCACTCCTTCCCCCCTGGGCCAGTCACAGGGACTCCTCTGTGCTGGACACAACAGGGCAGAGAGGGGATAGGCAAGCCTTGGGGGGCACCAGTGACCCAGAGAGGTGAGAGCCAGGCCTCGGGTGGCACCTGGGAGAGGGAGCAGGGGACGCTGCACATCTGCTGAGGGTCTCAGAGGGGTTGGGGCACAGAGGAGCATGGTAGAAGCACACACCACGCCAGAAAACGCCGCCACCCAGGAGGCCCGGCCTGCTAGGGCAGCCCAGGGCTGGGACAGGGAGCCCGGCGCTGGCTCTGCCAGGTGAGGTGAGGGCAGAGCCAGGAGAGCTGCACGGCCGGGCCTGCTGACCTCGGGAAGGAGGGCTGGTGCCTTGGAGTCTCTGGGAGAGGGAAATCACGAGCCCCTCTGCCACCCTCCCAGGCCAGGAAAACAGCCAAGAGTTCCGGACACCGGTTACGTAAGCGGCCCCGGGCGCATGCTTTGGCGATGCCTCACGTCGGCTAACTCCCCCACTGCCGCCTGGAAGCCTTGCGGGGCCGGGGTCTCCGGCAGCCCCTTCCCCACCTGTGCTCCCGGGGCAGGAGGGCAAGGGCAGAGAAGAGGCCCGGCGCTTCCCGCAGACACGCGGAGCCGTCAGAGTGGTGACCGCTCAGCCCCCACGTGTCCCGCCAGACCCCGCGAGCCCCTCCGCTCTCCGGGGCGCCGCGCCCCGGCCGCCCCGCCCGGCGCTCACCTCCAGCGGCCGCCCCCGGCCTGGCCCCCGCCTGGGCGTTGCGGACGCGCTGGGTGGGCTGGGGAGGCGCCGGGGCCTCCACGTCGTCCTCCCGGGGCGCGGGCCCCAGCTCGGACAGAAAGCCCTCGAGGAACTCCTCGATCTCGTCGTCGGTCAGCACCGTCTGCGGGCGCCCCCCGGGACACAGCGCCAGCAGCGCCAGGAGGCAGCCGAGCAGGGACGGGGTGACCGCCATGGTTGCGGGGGTCTGGGCAGAAGGGACCCGAGGGGGCGCAGGGGAGGGGCGGGAGAGGGGACCCGAGGGGGCGCAGGAGGGACCGGGAGGGGATCAGGGGGTGCAGGGGAGGGGCGGCAGAGGGGATCCGGAGTGAGCGCGGGGAGTTCCGGGGCTGGCGCGGCACCGGCGGTCGCGGCTCCTGGCGCCGGCGGCGACTGTGCACTCCGGCCCCGCGTGGCGCGCTCCCGCCCTCTGCAAAGCTCTGGCGGCGGCCGGGGCGGGGGCGCCGGGGCTTCCGGAGCGAGCTCCCCACCCCCGGGGGAGGGAGGAAGGAGCCCGGGAGCGGACGGAGGGCCTGCGGGGGGGCGGGGGGGGGGGGGGGTGCCCAAGCCTTCTGGCCCCCCCCCCCCGGGCCCTTTTGGCCAAACCGAACTTACACCCCCCCCCCGGGGACCAAGATTTCGCGTCTCGTTTCCCAGGTCTATAGGGAAACT